AAAGAAAAACTTATTTATTCTACCGCTAATACAAAATCGTGCTTACTGCATCCGAGAAATATTTAATGTCGGTAAGTAAGAGTAACAAGGAATTATCAAATTCTAATCTTTTTTCAGTGTGAATAAATTTTTTGAACAAAATTATCCTTTTTTTCTTAAAACTTCATTTCCCTTATGAATTTAGCTTTGTTTTAGATGAGAAAATTCATTTCTATTATCTACATTTACTTTAAAATAGTGTTACATTAATAAAAATGCTTTAAAAGTCACCTCGTATACAAGCATCTATACACTTCTCATTACGGAAAAGGCTCGTATGAGAGATTTCTCATATTTCTCATACGAGCTACCGAGCTCGTATACGAACTCCGCGGTCCGTGTATCGAATTTTTTTTACTGGGACTATTTTCTCTGATAAGAAGGGTGTCTAAAAAACTAATGTGATTATTATTCTCGAATTCAATGGTAAATTGTAAATTATTATTATAATCATTAAAAGCATTTAAATCCATTATTTATAGATAAAATCTCAATCATTAACATTTATGGTTTGGTAGACATGGCCATAAAACTATCGGACCAAAAATTTTTTACAGAAAATTTAAATTTTATTTATGACATATTAATTGAAAAGGATTATCCTAGAACCTTTTTAAATAAATATATAAATATTCGTTATCTGTTTCTTGTAAACGATAATATGGTAGATAGACAGAATTTCGATACTACAAATTTAGTTGTTTGGCGATATGTGAACGAGTTACAATATTCTTTAAAAGAATTGTATAACGAGTATAACATTAGGGTTGTTTTTTCTTATGAGAAGGATCCATTTAAAGTTTTTTCGAAGAATAAGGACAATACTCAATTTTTTTTATCTCAGCTCAGATCGCATTTGGATTACAGTATTCCCTGCTAATATGGAGCTTGCTACATTTGTGAGTCTGGTAGATATATTAAAAGTAGATTAAGCGAACATAAAAGAGATTGCAATATTGATAATAGAAGAACAGCTCTTGTAACACATGCTTATGAAAATGATCATTTTTTTAGTTTCGATTCCACAAATATCATTTGTAGTGAGCGAAATTACAGACGTAGGAAATTCAGAGAAATGTTTCACATTCACATTAATTTGTCTTTATATTTAAATTAATTAAATTTTCTTTATTTTCATTTTTGAAATTATTGATTAAGCAGTTTTCTTCATTATCATACTCCGAATCTGCTTTATCCTCATATGGCATTTAAAAAACATTTTTTTATACGTTAAAGAGCAGGTATGCTCACACGTTTTTTGAATTGTTTAACTTTTTGTTATTTTTTAATCAAGAACAAAATGTTTTTGATTAATTGTTATGTTATGAATATCTCCAAAAAATTGAGTTTTTTATATACATTTTTTTGTTTTCATTTTTTGAAGATACTTCTTGGTAAGTTTTTTTGGTTATGTTATTTACAAAGTTTTGTTTTTTGTAAAAGCTTTTTAGAGATGTAAAAGAGAAAAAGTTTTTTAATTAAAAATTACATGTATTTCAGTTTGAATATCTGATGATGCCTGTCGTCGACGGGCGAAAGCTCATAAATAAAATATTTTAAATAATTAAAATTATGGATTTTTATAAAACAATAAATAATACCTCTTTTTTAAGTTTGCTTGTTAATCCAAATTTTAATATTTTAATGCAATGATTGGTTTCTTCATAAGACTTAATGGGTTAAATATCCAAATTAATATTTTTTAGCATTTGTTAATTAACATTGTTAAAATAATCGATTATTGAATTGTTATATTTTTATTCTATTACTTTTTAATGTAAGTTGGTTATATTAAAATGATCTTGTCTAAAAAATCATGACTTCCTTGTTAAAATTACCAGTATGAGGCATTTGTTAATTAAAATTGTTTAAATAATTTAAAGGTGTTATTTAATTGTTTTAACTTTAGAATAAAATATGTTGAAAGGTTTTATTAGTAAACTGCAAAAAAAATAAAGAATTACCTATAAGATAAACAATTCTATTTTTTATTTGTTTATTAAAAATGCTTAATTAATTAGGGTAAGGGTCCCCAAGGTGGCCATCCATCTTTTAAACGACTGTAAATAAAATTTAGGCGATTTTTTAAAACAGATGAAATGTCGACTTTTAATAAAGTGTCCCCAAACTGTTTTTAACGATATTTCATTATTCGACGCTTGTTAGGCAAGCTCGTGGTAAAATCTTACGTAAGAAGGGGGAGGGAGGGGTCCGAGAAATCTTATGTATCCTGACATGGGGGAGGGGGGGTCAAAACTGCCTAAAATAGTCCTTACGTAATTAATGAATGGCCCCTTATTAAATTTCCAATAAAATGCCACTATTTTAAGTTGTATTGCATAAATAGGAAGCGAGATATGATGTTATGAAGACAAAAAAAATAATTATATTTTTTTCGGATTTTCTTACCCTGACTTTGACTCCTGGCAAAATTTAGAAAAGTTGATGAAAAAAATTGTTACTTTCACAGAATATTCCTTGTAACCTAAGCTTTAAATAAAGACCAAGAGTCCAAGAACAGCAAAAAATATTTACTGGTTTCTGAGATATTACAAAAAGAGTCGGACCATGCGAAGCAATATTTTCAATCATCAATTTCTCAAATTCGCCGTTGAGTCAATTGCGTGGCTGTGAAAAAAGTGTCAAAAATGAATTTTACCAAGTACATTCTTACTGGGATCCACTTTTTAAATATCATTATATAATAAATTAAATTTAAAAGTGGATCCCAGGAAAAATGTATTTGGTAAAATTCATTTTCGGCACTTTTTTCACAGCCACGCAATTGACTCAACGGCGAATTAGAGAAATCGATGATTGAAAATTTTGCTTCGCACGGTCCAAAAAACATAAAAAACATGGTCCAGTCAATATTTTCTTTAAAAAAATTTTGTGGTCCTGTATTATATGGATTACCTATACGTAACAATTAATAAATAAACTGTACCTCCGAAAGAGCGCAACGTAGAAAAAAATTATGTATATAAATTTTGTAGGTTTTTATAAGCTCTACAACTTTTATATTTACACCAAAACGCAAAAATGGTTTTTTCGATAAAAAAGGGGGAAAAACTGAATCATTACATTTTTGGCGCCCTCTAGCTTTCGCACATTAAGTTGTACAGTAGAGGCCCAATGAGATAAAATGTAGAGAAATTTGTTCTCTACAACTTTTATTTAAGAAATTTTTTAGTACGACTTACGGTTTTTGTACAAAATCAAATCACTGATTGTTAGTTAAAACCATGATTTTTTAATTATTTAAATAAAGAGGGTTCCTTAATCTGGATCAAAGTTCTCTTATTTTATGTCGCACACGTGAAACCATTAATTTAAAAAAAATTAATTCCTAAAGATTTGCATAGTCTCGAGATATTTATGAAAATAAAGGTAGGGGAGTGTTGTTAGAGTTAGGCATAGTTTTGACTTTTCTTCATAACTTCCCCTATAGAACGAATTTCGCGATTTCGCGCATATTTTTGGAAAGATCAACTCAAATGCAATGTTTTTGCTGAACATTGTAAAAAAATTTGACCAAAAGGTTCAGAGTTATAAGCAATTTAAAAAAAAATGTTGTCAGAGTTGATCATATGGTCGCCAGAGTTGGGCCATTGTAGAAAATCAATGAAATATTTAGGTAAATGATTAAAAATGACCTTCAAATGATAGAATGACACTTGGGAATGAGGAAAGGAACCATTAAATTAAAATAAAATCCCATATTATGCATTTTCATATAACTTTAGAAAATTTATTCCTCATGAACGAAATCCAAAATTGAAAAAATGAAAAAAGGTTATCAAAAAAATTTTTTTTCTCTTTCCAGTAGAAATGAAGTTTTTAACACCTTTTTGAGTGAAAAAATGAATTTCTGTTGCAAGTACGCTTTGTAATTCCAAAATTTCCCTCATGGTCCAACTCTGACTCACACGTCGGTTTGCGTCATAGGGGCACAGAACACAAACGCGTGACACAAACACCAAAATATTTTACACATTTTCACATATCATCTTAATGTACAATTTCTGCAAACTTATTTTGTCTTTGGCACATTTTTTCTACATTTGGATTTCTTTTTTTGACACCACAAAAAAGTTTTTGCTGAGCCTATATCACAAAGTGGTACGATGGTCAAGTATAGGTTCGTATACTTAAGTGCGACTCATATGAAAAGATGGTTGGCATTAGTAGCAAGAATTTTCATAATAAGATAGATGGCGCTAGTGCGATAAAACGAAATAAACGCGGTGGCTCAACTCTAACAGCTGCCCAACTCTGACAACTCTCCCCTAATATTTACACACATACACAAAAAGAACAAAATTATTAAATTTTGAAAATTAAATTTTTGTATTTATTTAGGTGATCGTTTTAAGAAATACTGACCAAAAATCTTTATTTCAAAATGCCTAGATCACAGAAAGGAAGAATAGAAGCGCGCGTTAGACTGCTAGTATTATTTAATTCATTATGTAACTCTTTGTGTATCGGCAAAAAAATTCTTAAAAATATGCATTATTTACATTTCAGTTTTTTTCGACAAATAATGACACAAGTTGTTAACCTCAACATATTAATTAAAGAAAAAAAGTTTTCAAGTTTTTATTATAAAAAATATTCATTTAATTGAAAAAATTATTTAAAACAGTTGTGTTCTAATATTTTCTACATATATGCGGTTTTATAAATTATTTCAAGTTATTTTAATTTCTGCATTTAACAAATAAAAGTCCAAAATTTGTTTGTAATAAATTTCGAATTATTGAGAATCGCAGGTATTGTATAGAAAATATAATTTATAAATTACAATGTATTCTTTAATTTACTTTATTCTTTGATTGTATTTAACATTTCCTAATCTATGAATGATCAACATAATTATTTACTAATTAGTTAAATAAATTTAGTTAACACTTATGGATTTTTTAAACTAATTTCTAGTTATTTAGTTTTAAACTTACATTGTTTAATGTTGTAATTCTCCAACAACGCATACGAGTTACTCTAAATACCGCTTCTTGATCCTCGTCTTTTATTTCAAGCATCTTTAAAGTTAATTCATTCATACCTATAGCTACCTGCACTTTCGTACCCATATTGGGATAATCACATATGCAAGGGGTAAATTGTATATACCCATAGTATTTTAATCCTCGAACTACAGTTAAATACTGAAATATATAACAGTAAATTAATTTCATAATTACAGTTAATTAAAGCATATTTAAAAAAAATGATAACTATTATTTTTTATAACAGTTAGATTGAGAAATACAAATATCGCACAAAATTTTCTTTATCTAAAAGAAACCCATTTCAAAAAAATTTATTTAAAAATCGTAAATCGAAATAATTTTGATTTTTTAGTTTTTTTATCTATTTTTTCTAAAATAGCTGTAAAAACCTGAAATCACGTTTTGAGCTTGAAACATTTGTTTTTAAGGGACAATTTGAGATTTTGTATATTCAATTTCATTGGAGAGCGGAACAGAAAAATCAATTCGTTGAGGGAACAGGAGGGAGAAATATTCGTGCTATTGATTTAAACTTATAGAATTTGAAGAGTGAAGTTTGGGTCTATATCTTTTATTTAAAAACCAAAACGTTTTAGCATCACGACAATAATTGTTAATTGAATCTAGGAGAGTTCTTTGAAATTCTTTTTCTTTCTCTAATAGTAATTTTTTAAATTTTGTTTTTACATTTTCTAAGTCTCACTCCCACTTCCCTCTTCGCTTCCACGTAAGATCCGTCATACCACGGCTTAACTTCCCGTTAACTTCTCAGAACCTCTAAATGTCCTCCGATTGTTATTTTCCGGTGTTAACTTCCTTGACGTTCTCCCCGTAAATTTCCTGAGAAATTACAAGGAAAAATTTATACAATTTTAACGTGTAAGTGTACAAAAAAATTATTTTGTAGTTTTCTCTAAACTTATATTTGTAAAGAATCCTAAAGAATTATAAAGAAATTTTCCCTAAAATAAATGTTAACTAACATAGTTTATACTTGTATTTAAAAAATATGAAAAATTCATTTCTTGAGTTTCGAATCTCGTATTTTACCTCACCATTTTTCAAAAACCTAACAAATACGAAAATATGTTTGAAAATAAATTTGGGGGTACCGGGGATCGAACACGGGTTGGACGGACGCAAACGCAAAAACCTAACCAACTGAGCTAAACTACCAATCGTTAAGAGAAAAAAAATCTTGCCCTCAAGCTGCAAGTACTTTTATTGATTTAGAAAAAGGCGGGTAAATTCAAATTGCTTTTTTATTTCAAATCATGCATTTACTTTAAATTTTATGAACTTTCTTTATTTTTATGTTTGTGTATATTTTTGTATACATTAATTTCAATCTCTTAAGATTAATGCATAAGATAAAACATATTTTTAACAATTTTTGTTAATTAATCATAGAATGAAATTGATTAAAAATAATTATCAACTTGAATGTAAAATATTTTTTATTAAATAAATTAACTCTCGAGTTCCACTAGAACAATCCTGCTGTTAATAAGATTAATTCTAAAATTGTTAAAATTCAATCATTTTTTCCAAATTTTGAGGAAGAATTAATTATTCAAAAATACAATTATATTTCAAAATAATTTTTAAAAGAAAATTAATTAAAATAGAAAATTTCACAAAACTTTTAATTGTTTCTGTTACGGCCGAACTCCGTAACTTTTTATATTGTTAATATCTATTTAATTATACTAAAACTAAAATTACATACAACAATTACACACAACATGAGATTTTGTTAAACATCATAAAAACATTTACACAAAAAACAACCCTTTGTAATTTCACAAAAGGGACATTCTTTATTTTGAATATTTTAATCCAAAATATTTTAATCGGATAAAAATCTAATTCTATATAAATAATAGATTTAATGGAATTTAACATTCCTTTAAGTTTCACAATTTTGAGGTGAAAAACCTAAGAATATAATACGGTATTTCTTAATAAACTAGCAAAATTGCGCGCTAAAGCGCGCCTAAAATTTCCATTTTTTTGTTCAATAGTGAAATAAAACTTTTAAATTACAATAATGTAGTGAATAGAGAATTCTTAAAGGTAAGTTTTATTATTATTGGTATAATTATAAATATGTAAATTAATTATATTTTTTGAAAAAATAGTCATTTTTAGGGGTCATCGGGGGGAGTCTAGATTACCGAAAATATGTATCACATGCTTTACGGACGATCCCTTATAAAAAATGTAATTTAAACAAATTTTTTAGAAACTTTGTATAAAGGTGTACTTTTTATAAAAAATGAAGAAAAAATTATAGCAAGCATTATTTAAATTAATTAACCCCTTAACAATGTAGTCTAAATAAGATTATTATGCCACAAATATGTTAAATTTTGTTTTTGTAACATTAACCTGTAAAATTTAATTTTACACGCAGAAAACTGTAAACTTACGCACTTGTATCATAAATAAGTATTGTATTGGAAAATATTGCTCATTTCAAAAATAAACAAATTACAAATAATTATTTAGTAAAAAATGTGAAGTCTGGACCTATGGAACTAAAATATTCATAACTTCGTCAATTTTGCTTCCATTGACTTGAGAATTGCTCTTTTTTAAATTGTTATTATGAAAGTATTTGAGTTAAGTATTTGTTAACAATTAATTTTGACTTCAGATAATTAAAAAGTAATCTTTAATTTATCTGAAGTAATCATAATCTAAAAATCGTTTTTTTGCTTCTTAGGTGCTTTTCTTCGCGACGCATCACATATACATTATTTATTCTCCTTGGCCACATGGTTCGAGGATCCTCATACATATTTTTATAATAAACTTAAATTTATTTACGAAGAATCCATTATTATTCCAAATTTATATTTACATAGTTTTATTTAAAAAATGTAAAATTTACAATAAGAATAACAAAATTTTTTTTAACAAACCATAAATGTATGAAAATGATAGATGAGGATTAATTTTATAAAAAATCTAATTAAAAATGTCCTTTTTTGAAAACATTTTTTACCATTTAAAAGAACGTAAAAAAATCTTTACAGATTAAAATTTATTAAAATTTATCAAAATAAAAATAATTATTATTTTAAATTTAAAATATTCAATTATTATTTTATGTATTTTTTAATAAATAATTTAATATTCTAGAATTTTTTTACAATTACATAGTGCAACAATTTACCATAGTTTAAGATTATATAATGAATTATTATATTGGGTACCTTTTATAAAGATAATGAAAATTTGTTTTTTAATATTTAAATTATACAAATAACAAATTTACTTTTTGTAGAATAAAAAACATTAACTTCTTCCTTTAATCAATAAAATTGTGTGAATATATTATTACAAATATACATGACTGACAAAACTATGGAACTCTTATTAATATTTCTAAAACTATTAAATAGAAATATATTTATTTTCTATTTCTAAAATTACTAAATATTAAAAAAAATTTTGCTAAAAACAAAATTTGTAGAATTTTAAAAAATTAGCTATCGTAATAGATTTTTTTATTTAAAAAATTGCATATTAACATTATATTTTTTAATAAATACTTTCAATTATTCAATAAGTTTTATATTTTTGACACACCTTGTATAATATTTCAAATATTTTCAATGATATTCTCTCATAGAATGATTTTCAAACTTTTTGAACAGGTATATGTATATATTGTGTACATTATAAGCTATATTTTCAAAAATATTTTCAATAATTCAAATAACACCCGATATACGTAAAGATCTAGCCTTTCATGGGTTAACTTAGTTATTATTGTCGTCAGTACTGTTTCAAATTCGTTCAAGTGAGGTTGTGATCCAGCATAATGGATGAATTAGGTAAATAATTAGAATGGTTTTTTTATTTTATATATATATATATATATATATATATTTAAATTTTTTTATTCTTATTTATTTATTAAATTTTTTATATATAAAAATTTATCATTGTTCCATTTATAATTTTAATATTTTTATTTTTAGTAAACTAATTTAATAATTTGAAAACAATTTACTTATTTGAATTTTTTTAATTATTAATATTAGTTTGTTATTTACCCAAATTTATCATAAAAACATATATTAATGTAAATATAAAGTGTTTCAATAAAATTTCTCATTAATAGCAATAAATTTTTCTTTATTACTAATTTAATTAAATTTAAATAAATGCGATTATTCATTAAGTTTTTTTTATTAAATAGCATTCTTATTTAATTTTAAGTAAATTTTTTGAAAAATGTTCTTTTCAATATTCCGAATAGTGAATACTGTTTGATTTTATCACTTTTATCTAAAAAAATTATTTTTCAAGACATTTTATCCCTTCTATATATAAATTTTTTAAATATTTTGGACAAAAGAAAATATAAATGTATTACGATTTATTCATGAATCATCTTTACTATATATATATTTTTTTGTTTACATACCCGTCTTAAGCTTATCTAGCTATACGAGTATATTATTAAATATATGTATACGCTTTTGTTGGTAAGAAGTTCTGTCAATGAAAAATCAATATTGTTTGGAAGATATATAACTGTAACGTTATTTGTTTGAGTCCAAATTAAATATTATAATACTAAAATAATAAATATACCTATTAATTTTTTAAAAACTTTTTAATACTTTTAAATAATTAAATAATGAATAGTATGAATTAAAAAAATTATTTGGATTATAAAAAATAAAGATAATAATATGTATATATAAAAAATCATAAAATTATTTTTATATAATTGTTATTATATTATTATTAAAGAATCTTCATATTCTTCTATGCATTTTGTCTGCAATTTGAAGTTACTTGTTTGCATCATTTTGTCTTTTTATAATTTTTTCTTTATAAAATTTTTTTTGAAAGATGAAAAATTGTGTAATTTTTTTTATTTATAAAAATATTAGAAAATTATTTTAAAACTATAATTAACTACAAATAATATTATATTGTACTTTAAATATAAGTTTTAAATTGATGATATTTTTAAGAGATGAATAGAAAAAATTTGTTTATTTATTTTTATATTTATAACAATTTTTATGTAAAATCTAAAGTACTTTTTAAAAAAGGACAGTTTATTATAACTTTTATTTAGTAATTACCTATTTTAATTAAAAATAAAACTTAGAATTTAAGGGAATTTG